TGTACTTATATAGCTCCTTTCTATCTGATCAAGATACTCAAAGCTCTTTACAACACAATCTGTGCCCTCATTTACCCATTCATACAGCACTCTGCTAGATTTATACTAAGAATAATCAGAGCTTTATCACATTCATTCACTGATGGGACACACGTCAGAGGCAATGAGGAGTTCAGTGTCTTGCCCAGGGACACTCCAACATGTGACTGCAGGTGGAATCGAACCCCCAACTCTTGCATTGGAGGACGACTGCTATAATCACTCAGCCACAGCCGCCCAGCATGTGTGATTTATTGTTTTCTACTAGGGGCGCACCGATTTCAGTTTTCTGGCCTATCACTGATCACCGATTTCTAAAAAGTCTGACCTGCCGATACCGATTTTGTTTTATAAGCGACACCGTCAGTGTTATAAGGTCACAATGCACCTTCAATTTTACAATCTTATTTTATTGAAAAACATACCCTTAAACAATATCCTAGAAACAATACAAGCTTGTTTTAACTGGCCATGAGGTAGTGCTCTGAAATATAAATGAAGTTTAGACAAATGTTGTGAAAACAAACAAAAAAAATCTGTAAAATCGGTTTCTCGTGAAAGTATCGTCCGATTTCCCAAAATTAAGGAAATCGGAGCCGATAAATCGGTCAGTGCACCCCTATTTTCTACAATCAGTAAAAAAATACAATAACCATATTAATACATAAATAAATAACAATGTTTTTTCTAATAAAAATGGTGAGAGAGGGTGGAGATGATAAAGGAGGGAAGACCTGGGAAGCAAAGTGATGGGATGGGAAGGAGGAAGAGTGGGACGTACAGAAACAACAACCAACAGACAGAATGAGACAGAGTTTAAGGGAAAACAGTAAAAAGCACAAAGGACAGAGAAGACCTGCAGAGTTAAAGAGTCCAGGTCTAAGACACATAAACTGGAGTCTCCTGATGCATGCTCAATAATCTAACAAGGTCGAGTCAGGTCCTCTGGACGAATTATTCTTTGTTGAAACGTTTCGTCTTTTATCCAAAAGACTTCTTCAGTGTGAGGAGCTGCAGCAAACTGTTCTATAAGCAGCTATGAGAAAGTGCTGTTTATAAGACTGAATTTGTTGCAGCTCCTCAAACTGAAGAAGTCCTTTGGATAAAATATGAAACATTTCAACAAAGAAGAACTCGTCCAGAGGACCTGGAGGTGGAGTCTCATCAGTAAGTATTGTCATTGTGCTTGAGTGCATTTATTCATCAAAACACTTGAGCTGAATGAAACCTGATCTTGAAAGTTGACAGTAAGAATGAAATTGTGTTTTTAATTATTCAGCTGAGCAGCAGCTGGACACGTGTGATGCGTCTCTGAGGTGGAGTCAGTTTCTTAATGTCCACAGAGACACCAGCACAGTGAAGTCAGAAAGATACAATATGTTAATTTAATGTGTTTTGGGGATTTAATTCCAAATAGTAAGGTGCTTAATGTCCAACTCACCCCTGACTTCCGAACACTGCCCCGTGGTTTGGGCACAGGCCGACTGGACCTGGTCTCAATGAGCTCTGAGCTGGTTCCTCCGGGGAGATTCTGCTGCTGTTTGGACCTCTGCGCTTGCAGAGCCAGCTGATAGGCCACCTCAAAGGCCTGGCCCAGGGTTAGTATAATCTCATAAGTCAGGTTCTACACAGACAAAGAAAGCAGGGAGACTATTTAAATTCTAGAAAAAATAAGCTAAACTGTAACATGAAGAAGCATCTTCTGTCACCTAAACATGCTGGATTATGTTGTAGTCGTGACAGCTTCCTGATGTGAATAAGCACCTTAGACTAGAAAACGGGCACGCTTGTGAGAATAAGGACAAAACCTTCAGGGTCTGAGACAACTGCGCCACATGGACCAGTTGACGTTTGACACATTTGTCTTTTCCTCTGCGCTAAATATGAACCAGCTCTGACATTCTTCATGCAGTGAGGATTGGCTCTCCTGGACCATGAGAGCAGCAAAATGGTCAGCACAGGTTAAAATATTGATGAATGCTGCAGAGTTACTGCTCTTCTGTCAGACACCAAAAAACCACAACCGCCTGAGGAATAGCAGATAAAAGGTAAAAAAAACTATTTCAAGCACTGCGGCTAATCTGAAGAAAAAATGAAATAAATTTAATAAATAATAAACTGATTTAACTCTGAGACAAAACTTTTTTTTTTTTTACAGTAAACGTGTCCTTACCACATCCACGGTGCTGAAGACATGGCAGTAATGGTGGCTGGTCTGAAGGTCTTTAGTGATGTAGGCAAACGTACACAGGTCCTCTGGGTCCTGGGCTGCACAGGATATGTTGCGGATCTCGTGCTCTGCGATGATGTTCTGCACCCAAAAGAGCACGCACGTTAGAAGTGAAGTGTCGGAACGTGAAGACGGCTAACAAGACCTGCTAACGCTGCTAACAAGATCCTCCATCTGTCTACACACGCGGTACGGACACGTTCGGTTCCGCTGGGAAACCTGGGATGTTCTCGGTCTGCCGGACCCGGTTCTAGACTGCGGTCTGTGAGGGCAGCTGCTGTGGTCCTTATTACCATCAAGCTGCGGACCGGACCTGCTAACACGACCACGCCGCTAACAGAACAGAACCATGATGTTGAAAGATCCTCACTGCTAACACACTGTAGATGTTTTTCTTTTTCACTTTTGGCGCCTTGTTTTTTAGTATTTCAGTAGTATTTTTTAATATGTTTTTCTTAGTATTGTAGTGAGTCACGTGAGGTACGTGTCACTTGTTGTATGACAAATATATGAATTATATATGCATACGATATTCACGAGTTCTTCATTTTTCTGACTGTAAATGTCGTGCATTGAATTTAACAGAAATGTAACGAGAGACGTTATTTATCTTTGACCCATCAAATGAATGGAATCATTTATTTTCAGAATCAAAGTTTAACATCAAACATTTACATTAATTTGGCAAAATATGAAAATAATAACAGACAGTTTCACAGAAAATGAACTTCAAATCACTCGGCGGTGATTTGAGGACTTTGCTTAAGATATTTCTAAAATATCTGTACTGATTTATGAGAGAGAGAGGTGGGTTTTAGAGTGAAAGGAGATTATCTTACAGAGAACTGTGTGAGGGAAGTTTAATCTGTTTAACCAGAAATTGCACGCTCCGTCAGATCCTCAGCCCGTCCACGGTACACTTTAGTCGAAGAAGAAGCCTTTACCTGGTTTGACGATAGATCAGCTCAGTAAGCATCCTTCAGACTGTTTCCAGCGCCTCCGTTAAGCACAGCTAAAAATCCTCGGAGAGTCGTGCGTGGTTAGCTCAAAACAGACTTATAATCCCAAACGTCCCTGGTTCTTCATAACTCCAAACTCTTCATAACCGGTTGCATCTCTCAGAACTCTCATTCTCTTGTCAGCTCTCATTCTAACTTGAACTGGGCAGTTGTCACATTTTAAATGAGTTTACTTCCTGTTCAGTTTAGAGCTTTCTGATTCGTGGAAGGACCAGAAAGAGGTGTGTTTTTGACGTAAGGTGTTTATCAACAGTCGAGGTCAGAGAATGAAACTTGTTTAACATACAGAAAAGATTATTGCAGAAGCAGCAGACTTTCTGGAGTCTACTCTTGGTAATCTTCTGAAAAAGTTTAAACATGACATTTCTTCTTCAGTAAACATTTTAGTTGACCGAAGACCAACCTTTCACATACTTACGACAGCTTGCTCATTTCAGACAGAAAATCAAGAAAGGCATATTCAGGTGATTTCTTCTCTGAATGAGGAACAAAAATCATTACTTACTGTTTATGTAAAATAAAAATTAGTAGTTCTTTTCAACCTGTAAAGCATTGAGTGAACTAACACAATTTGATTATCAAAACATTTGTAAGACAGTAATGATTATAAAGAATTGTCTTTTCTGCTTGATTAATTCAAGAAAGAAAGTTCATCAGATGGTTCAGACTTATTCAGATCAATGAAAATAACAGTCTCTGTCCATCTGGTATATTTGAGGTCATCTGGTTCACTACAGTATATTAGTTAGTAGTATAGTTTTTTTTGTATGTTTTTAGTATTTTTGCTGCATGATTTTATTTATTTTTTGGCATCCGAGACAGTTCTTCTCGTCCTAAGAATTTCATTATCAATCAATCAATCAACCTTTATTTATACAGGTAAATCCCATTACATTGTTGACCTTGTGTTAATTTGCACATGACGCATAAAACTAGAGGTGAAACAATTTCTTCTGGAACAAGCAGCGAGAATTAATATTTCAAAATACAACGAGGTGACGAGTGAGAAGTCTTATAATTTACAGCTAAAAAGAAAGCAGGAATACGTGAAGGCACGCAGAGCACACGGTTACCTTGTTGGCTGCGTCGATGAACTTCACACCCTTGTAGGTGATCGACAGGACGATCGTTGGGACTTTTCTCATTTGCTCTGTGGACCTCTGGAAGAAAAACAGGCACAAAACCACAGGAAGGTGATGCACGTGTCCCTCAAAGTGCAGGTCTGTGCAACCCCTGATAGAGAAAAGACTTGGTCCATACCCGCATTTTGGCACAAGCATCCTGCGTGGACTCGGTACCCCTCAGTTCCTTAATGAGCATGGAGCCAAGGTACTGCACAAACAGGACGGAACACATCAGTGACGGGGAACAGAGTAAACTGAGGTCAAACAGTAATAATGTTATCGTGTACATTGGCTTTGTATGCGCAGGATTCAAATATGAGTTTCTCAGGCTGGTGATGCCAGTTCTGCACCGGGGCGTACGGTGCTGCTAAACTAGGCGGCCGCAGGGTCAGACGGGGCTCTTGATGCACCTCTTCATACTGCTCCTGAGAGAAACACCAGAATGATCTTTAAATGTCTGACAAGCGGCCTCTTGATGAGTCCGTAACACAGCTAAAGCCCACACCTGTCTGAGTCGTCCGCTGCAGTATCTCTGGCTAACATCACACTCCGTATCTGGAACTTTCTTTCTGCTCTGCTCCCCTGCAGGCAGCAGAGGGTCCATGGAGCGTCCTGTGTAGTCCATCTGACTGAGCGGAGACGAGGTCTGAGACCCAGGCAGGTCCTGGAACTGCACACACACAGCCAGACAGTTTATACCGTTAGGGACAGACTGTTGATGGCTGACAATGTCTTATTCACGTTTCTTTGCATCTTTATGTTTAGCTGTTTATAGGCTAAAAATGTCAAGTGAGAAAAGTCATCATCACTACAAAGTGTTGGTCTGAGTCCTCACCCTGATCTGAGACAAGCGAGGAGGTTTGACAGGAGGCTCCTCGTAAGGCCGTTCTGCTAAGGAGGCAATGATGCGTTTTCTGTGACCAAGCAAGGTAATTTTTAACACCTGGGAGAACGATAAAGCTGAAAATTATTTTCTTAAGACACGGAGAAGCATATCTGACATCACAAGAAAAATATGAGGTAATTACAAAACATGTCTTTGCTGTTCAACACATTAATCTTAAAAAAACTTGTGGGAGTCTGTCTTGCTCTGTTGACTGTTAGTATGAAGATATGCATGTTTACACAGACAACATCAAATCCTGCTGATAAAAACACACAGGAAGTCTCATCCACAGCTGGCTGCAATGCACCTAAGAGTTAAAATAAGGTTTCATCTAAAGCAGGGAAAATAACATTTGTAAAATTTAAAGGTAGGTCGTAACAAGAGATTTAATTAAAATTACAGGCTCGCATGTTTTGTGCAATTTTTGTCGTTCGTATATGAAAACGTTCAGCTCATTCAGGACATGAGTGATGTGACTTTTTTTTAACTGTTTTAGACACTTTTATACTTTTCAAATATTTAAATTTATTTACAAATATTTTCCCTATAAATCACACAACTTTAGAATCTCCTCAGACCATTCAAAACATTGTTCCATTGGAAATCTGCTTCAACAAACATGCTCTATTTTTGTCTTTTAGACTATTTTTAGGTTTTAGCTAAAGTTCTGCTACTTTTAGCTTTTAACTAGTCTTTGGATACATTTAGGTCCTAGCTGGTCTTTTGATACTTTTAAACTAACGATACTTTTAGCCTAACATTTTGCTGTTTTTACCCAGTATTT